AAGTTGTCTCATCATTGTCAGCAACAATTTAAAGTCCCTGATGTTATTAATTTCTTAACCAATTAAAATCTATTCGCCATTTGAAAGACACTAGTGCCGAGAATACCACGTCTTACTGAAAGTCAAAAGATGACAGAGAATTGTGCTGCTTGGTTTAGTATTTACATTTAATAACTCTGCCATGTTCAGGGGAACACACACACTCATGGGACACCCCTAGATCCACCATGAAAATTTCAATCAAGAAGCATCCTACAGAAATTATACTATGGAAACAAGAAAAAAAAAATTTAAGTGCTGAAAAAATTATTGTGTAAGGGTGATTTTGACAGGTCGGTCAGAGTACATCAAACAATTTTTTTATTTGACTTACTTAACTCTTTTAATTATGAACTCTTTCAGGTAATTCATTTTATAACCTTATTGATTTTAAAGATACATAAACAGTGACCACATACTTATCTATAGAATTAATGTTACATTTCTTTCTCTTTTTCAATAATTTTCTAGTCTTGATTCACATTTTCAATTATAGCACCATAGTATTCATACATGTAAAAGAAGCTTGTGTCTCACAATTCACAATATATGTATTGTAAGGGTTTGTCTGAGCATGTTGAATGAGTTTAGACAGATGGGCATATACGATTACTCAAACATGTCACCGTAGAATGTGTTCATAATTTTACTAATTAAATGACATAGTTTTAGTAATGATGCTCTCAATGCAATTCTAGTCATCAACTATAGAGCTTGATGTTTAGAATTTATTCAACAAATTTGAGTTATGTACGGAAAACCTAGGTCAGACATTACAAATGGAAACACTGAACATATTCATCTCCGCTTACATAGGTTTTATCTATTTGTACATGGATTAAAACATGATAAACAACGTTGCACCTTACTAACAGACTAAGACAGACCTGAGCTTTTCCTGTGATCAGAAACCAGACGTTAAAAAGATGTGGCAAACAAACCACTTATTTGTATCTATGAATAGCGAAAAATGTATTACATAGACACAAAAAGTAGTAAAATGTGCCACTTATCTCATTTTTTAATCAAATAAATCGCATCCAAACGACCAATGTTGAAACTGAAAGTATTTTCTTCTTTCACTTCCGTCAAAACGACACACATGCGCATTAACGGTATATAGAATATTCCGAAGATTGAACCCGATCACTATTATGCTTGTGACTCGTGAAAACGAATTCTTGGCCGTCTCTGCATTAAATATTCAACTTATAATTTAAACCATACTTATTAATGTTCTATTAACGATAGTTTTAAATATTTAAAGCGATTTTTGCACCCAAATCATAAAAGTATAGATGTTAAAAAGATTTTTCAAATTATAATTTTTTAGCAAATTTGGTATAAAAATGTGAAATTTTCTTGTTTGATGCCCGCTGCCCCGCTTAATTTTTATGCCATATAAGGAAGAGACTATTGGAAAATAACATGTTAATTTTATTAAAAAAATCTGTAGTTAGAACATCAAGCAGCAATTTATTTTTACTAGGAATGAACTTTATAATTTTGAGCTAAAGGATCAGTTCATTATAAATAGGGATCTGACCTATAGGACGGGGCTTGGTTTTTTCTCTACAAAAAGCTTGTCGATTTCTGTTCCGATTAATGACATTAGGCTGAATACATATAACGGTTTGTTTTTCCTAAATCTTTAATTCAGTGAGTAATGAGTATATAGAGATAGGAGGTACCTTTTCATTGATTTTCTGAGTTTGTTATCTCCAAATGTAACTGATATTTTTCTTTACTTCTCATTGTGCATAATGGTAACGTCTACTGTCTCTGAAACTCTATTCTTTATGTCTATGCTATTTATCCGTGGATATAATAAAACATGCCATTAATGTGTGCAAATTATACAGGCCTAAGTGAAATCCAAGGAAATCAGTTACTGATATATGTAGCCAAAGTCAATGTGATTAAATTTTAAGGAATATATACAATTGACATTCATCGCAGCTCAACGCTACCAAGAATACGTTGTATCGAATAACACAAAGTGAGCTATTCGTGTCCTCGGAGAAAGTGTGCCTATATTGTTCCGCCTGACTGACAACTTTACATTGGATTGTTACGATCTGATCTCTCTTTAGTGTTTCTTATATCAAGAATAGGCACGCAAAAAGGACAGATAATTGAAAGAAAATGCACAAGTCCATAAAAAAATAAAAATAGTCTTTGAATATGCGAAAAATTAAAACTTTGAAAGTGTGGTACCAGGTGGATTCGAACCCCCGACTATAAAAAGAAAGTTCCCACGGTGTAAAAATCAGCGCATGTATCAACTGAGCTAGTCTGACTTTAATATATATGGTATAAATTTGAAGCAGATTATCAAAATCAGGTTTCCTTAATTTTTGTAGGTTTTTTGTGAATTTCGACCCTAGGGCAGGGGTGCCCCTAAAAAATTCCTATCTTGAATTATTCTTTATATCCCAACCTATCAAAATATCACAGTTTTATTTAGGGGCAGGCCTGCCCTGAAGGACTTCTAGGCCAAAATACATGCAAAAATCAACGCTTTAACGGACAAAATGGTGTTTTGGCCAACTTTGGAGGTTTATTGTAAAGTTGTAAATAATAAATATTAGGTATAAAATACAAATTTGAAAAATTTAGACATATATACGGTAGAAAACAACTAATGAAGATTCATTTTATAATGTCACTTTTTCCGGGAAATTGCTTTCTCCTATAGGTCAATTCTTTTGTCATAGCGAATATATCCTATGTTTAATTCGCCCCAGAAAGTAATATTAGGTGGATTAGCAGATTAAAAAAATAATTAAACCGTTAAACAAGCATATTTTCTCTATAACTCATATGTTAAAAATTTTCTTTTGCTTTTAATTTTAGAAAGCTAGCATAAATATCTTAATTACTGCATTTCTGTAATTTCACGAGACACTGTCTATTTTTAGTAACAATCTTTCCAAAAGGAGGCCCGGTTGACCCTAAAATTTACACTGATCTGGAAAGGACAAATACTCAGTTAAGATTCTGAAAAGTTTCAACAAAATCTGTAGGTCCGTTATTTCTATAGTATGGTATGGATCTTTACCTTAAGTCATGATTGGTTAAATTTATATTGCAACATTCCAAGGTAGTGTAGATTCAAGTTTGTTTAAATCATCAGCCCGGTGGGTACGGTGAGGCAAAAAGGGACAAAAAAAGTTTTACAGAGAATACACAAGGGAAAATCTATAAAAATCTTAAGAACAACTAAGCCATGATTGATCATATATGAATTTGTATGGAAGCATCCTCAAGTAGTATAGATTTAAGTTTGTTGGAATCAAGACCCCGGTGGTAAAGTTAGGCCACAAGAGACGGTCAAGGTTTTACAAATGAATATATAGGGCGTATCTTAATATTCTTCTCAGGAACAGCAAAGTCATGATTGGTCATATTTGAACGGAAGCATTAGGTAGTGTAAATTGAAGTTTGTTGAGAGCATGACTCCGGAGCCAGGGCGGGGCCAAAATGGACAAGCAAAATTTTACTTAAAAATATATTGGAATATTTTTTAAAAATCTTTTTCTCAAGAACAGCAAAGCATTTATTTGTCAAAAATACATGTACATGAATATGGAAGCATATACTCAGGTATTATAGATTTAGATTTGTTCAAATCAATGCCGGGCAACAATGGACAATCGATGTTTTACAGAGAATACACTGGGAAAAATCTATGAAAATCTTCTTCTTAAGAACAGCGAAGCCAAGATTGATCATATTCATATGGCAGTATCCTCAAATAGTGTAGATTTAAGTTTGTTCAAATCATGACCCCAGGGCTAGGGCGGGACCGGAATGAACAAGCAATGTTAAATTAGAAATATAAGGGGAAAATTTTAAAATCTTTTTCTCAAGAGCAGCAAAGCGTTTAAAAAGACTTCAAAGGTGTGTTTATGAAATATTATTTTTAAATAATATGTTTTATGGCATCATTGTATCGCAACATCTATTTTTATCACAAAATCTATTTTTAGTATTCGGTTTTTATAGTTATTTTTAGCCTGAGGGTTCATCTGTATCTATTTTTATAAATATTTGTCCTTGTACCTCATCATTAACCAATGAAATTGCAGAACTGTGATCACGTGGAAGTCACTTTTGTTTTTACCATAGTACGTGAAGGACGCTTTTATGTAAACAGAGGGATTGTTTGTGTAAAAAATTAACCCTCCACCATCCCCATCTTATCCACCTCATTACACTTAGTATTATTTTATAGATGTGATTTATAATTGTGTTATATCGGCATGTACAAAAGGCAGAATATACGTCCATTTTGAGTTGAATACTCATTTACATTTGAATTCTATACATGTAGGTCAGCATAATCTTGTTGTTTTATACCTCAAATGTGAGAAAATCCTTTTTGGAAATACCACCTTAAATTTTACATTGTTTTTGAAGAAATTTTCTATATGTCATGGCAAAATTTTGTATATGCCACCTTGATTTTTACATTGTTTTGATTTTTCATATCACAGGGAGATCCCCCTGCCATTGTTGTATATATGTTACCTGGTGATCTCCCATCTTCTAAATGTACATTCAGCAATGACAATCATGTCTTGCTTAGACTTTAGGGAGATCCCGCTGCCATTGTGATATTAGGTGCTCAATAAGTCTATGTACGTTTGTCTGGGATCTCCCTAGTAGTTAAGGTAGTTTATTTCTAATTATTTGTTATTTTCGTCATTAATAAATGACAATATTCATCAAACAATGTCTTGTAGTGTTTTAAGGAAGTAAAAATTAACAAAGCTGCAGGACCAAATGGGAACTGGTTTTTACGCATTCTTTACAATACAGGCATTTGTCTAGCATAAGATAAATGGAGGGCATAAAGTAAAAAGTGATTATTTTGAAGAGGTATAAATAAAATAAAAAAGAATCATGTTATTTTTTTTTATTGAAAAAGGCTCACTATTTCACGAATAGCCCTTGTATTTAAGATAATCATTAAACTTTGTCACCTCATGCATCTTTGGTTCTTAAAGTGTAATAACAAAATTATTGCCATAATGACCTTATACATTATGGATTTTCAAGGCTTGATCTTCATACACACGATAAGATGCTTCAAATAAAGGTTTAAGGCTCCACAATTTATCAGATGATTATTTCAAGGCTCTTGTTTCTATACATTATGTACAGGGTTCAATACAAGATGCTCAAAAAGTTTTTAATTCTGATTGATGTCAAGCGATGCACCAGATGTCCTAGTCTGTAATCCCCTTTTCATTTCTTTAACTTGAGATTTTAAATACCCAACTTGCCTTCTTAAATTTCCAACTTCTGCTTGAACTTCCTTTCTCAATTTTCCAACATCTTTTTGCACACTATTTAATGAAGATTGAAAGTTTGTTTGTCGATTTTGTATATCTGTTATTGACAATTGCATTTGCAACAGTATTGCTTCTAAAGAAAGTTCAGACGAAGCATTATTCTGTTGTGATATTTGAGCACTTAAAGGATTTTCCGACGCTCTAGCTATGTTCTCAGAGGACAATAAAGGACCTGGCTTTAATATATGAGGGAGACGAAAAGAATCTAAAATCCTGGTCATTGGAGTAACAAAACAGGACCCTTTGGTGGTAGAACCAATAGCCATCCCAAGACAGCTCAGCGTCTTTTCAGGATTGATACAGAAGACAAAGGCTCCAGAATCACCGGGTTCAAAAAATGTTCCATGTGGAAGGCTTTGAATTTCAATTTGGTTGCACATAACAGCAATGGTATTGTCTGGCAAGTTTCCAGTATCGTCCACGAAGCGGATATGGACTCCATTGATGTAGAGATTTCCAATAGTGAATTTTGTTTTACTCCCATATTTTACGACACTGTCCGATTTACCTGGAATTCTGCTGCTTAGTTTGTAAATAGGATCAGGGTCTGGTACATTTACAACTTCTCCAGTAAATCTTGGTGGTTTATTCGGGTCAAAACCTGGAATTGAAAAAAATATTTTTTTTAAATTATAAACCGAATTCTTTTTGATTCTTTAGAAAATAATTTGGCAAAAGACAGAGGACATTTAACGTTTATATTTCTGAAGCAAAATTATTTTTATACTCTCTTTATTTGACTTTATAATGTTAAAACATTGAAAATGCTAACACAATTACAGTTTGATGGGATATCATTTCACTTTTTGCTGTGTTCTCAAATTTGAATATACATTGCACCAAATGGTTTAATAACTTTTTTTTTCGATTTGATTGCTTTTTTGCTTCATCAAAATAACATTCAGCTACTGAATGGCTTTGAACGAATATCCGTAACACTTTAAAACTTCTTTCTTATGAGAAAGAGATGACAATTTTAGTGTTTTCAAGGCCTCATTTCCGATATCATAATATTGAAAAAAAAATTCCATAATTTTTAAAGATATGTGAAACTGTTCTCTTTATTCTTTGGAATGATACTTATTTAAATATGATCAAGATTTTACAACAACTGCAATGGGGACAGATACATATATTTCTAGGCATCATCTAAATATTTAATTAATATCGTGTAAGTTTAAAATAGTAGAATTTGCAAAACAAACTAAAATCGTGACATTGAAAAATGAGAAGGAATCGGTTCAAACAGATTGTCAATAAGCAAATAGATAATTAAAAAACAATCAATAATTGCCATCAAAAATTTTGTGATCAAGCTTTAAATCTAGTGCCAAGATATAATATAAGACATTCAAACAACTTACCTGCTGAATAAAGTTGATCAGTTACTGGAAATTCGAATTCGTTTACAGTTGGGTCAAGTTGAATCAAGGCGGCGTCAACTGAATTTTCATTGGATAAATATGGAAAACATTTATCCACAATACTACCACACACTTGAAATTTATGTTGACTTTTATCAAATACCTCTACTTCTAAATCAGTATCATTGTCAAGCACATATTTATCTATATAAGCATTCGATATTTTCAATTCATCTGATGAAAATACAACATGGGCACATGTTATTAAACCAACTGCGTCATTTGACAAATCAACGAAACCCCCAATGCTTCCATTTCCTGGTGTGTTTATTCCTCTTGCACGACGAATATGTCCTCCAAAGTCTATCGATCTTCCACTTCCAAAAGAACAATATCCCTCCTGCACATCTACATCAAACCCATTGATTTGTTTTGGAAACTCTTTTTCTCCAAACGGAATATATCCTTTATGTAGACACAATAGACTTATGCAGGGTTTTCGGACAACCTTATGCTTTCCTTTTGAATATCCTGTTGATTTAAATGGAGATGCTGATATCAGAGTTAGGTTGGAATGCCTGATAAAAAGTTTTCTTGCTTCTCTTTCTGCAATAACAGGCAATTTTATCGCGGAAGAAGCCTCAGTAGAATTAAAGACAGTATATGCTTCATCAGATGGTTGTGTATAGTTATACAGCACCAGATTAACCCCCATGGCTTTCTCGGGGATTCCGTCTTTCATTTCTATAATTCCTTTGTATGACATCATCATCACAAGCCTACTTTCCAGCTTGCATTCATAACAAAAAGATAGACTGATTGAATTTTGTTGAAGCCTTGGGCATTTTCTTAAAATCACGTATTTTGCTGCTTGCAAGAGAGTGTCCTTTACAACAGAATTTATCTTCTTCCCTTCAAAACGTTTTTGCAAATTGAAATCAACATTAAACATGTATGACTTCACTAGCTCTAAAACTAATATGTGGTTTTTGTTTTCAATAGCGTAATCCATGCAGCGATCAGTAATCAAAGAAATGATTTTGGGTTTGAACTCAATTATTGCTGCTTTGGTATATGCAGCAAATAAAGTGGATAAAATGGCTCGACATTTTGCAGATTGCGTTTTTTGTAAGACTTCATCACAGCCCATCATCCAGCTAAAAAAATCCTCAACATGGAATTCAGAAAATGGTTCAAAATCTTTCATCTGCTTTTCGGCATTACTAAAATCCAGACCAGAACAGTCCAGATAATCAACTCTCTGAATGATGTTCTCATATTCAGTAGTTTTCGTCTGATCTTTGTGATATTGCTGAGGGTAAGTTTGTTCAATATTTATAGAATCGATTAGTCTTTGGATTCTAATTCCAGCTTCTCCATTTTTTCTGAGCTGTTCAAGTGTTTTGTCGAAAGACGAGTTTTTCTGAAGTGAGGTCTTTTCTTCAATATCTGCAATGGAATGATTAAACTCAATAAAATTTATTTCCTAGATTTGCCTTTAAATCACACAATGTTAATCTGATCGCAGATTGTTGTCCCATCCTACATCTATTCAATCTGCAATACCTGATGATCACTGCTTCTTTGTTAAGTCACTAACCAAAAGGTAATTCAGGAGTCATACAAAATGTCATCTTTACTTAATTTATAATTGACTATCTTATCATTAATAATCCCTTGAAGTGTAATTATTTAATCTCTGAATTCAATTAAGTTGCCTATTTATTTATTTTTGAGGTACGACAGGTGTGACAATAATTATCACTCTACCTGTCCATGTCATCTACTCTTTCATTGACATGACATTTTGAGTAAATCATATTAATTATTTAGATAAACTCAAAAGCAATCATATATGTATATGTAAAATGTTTAAAAAATCAGTGTAAGCAAAAGTCAAGAGTTAACGATAGAGTTAGCAATAGTTAGGGACAGTAGCTAGCAGTTCCAGCCATAGATGTGTATATAAAATGTACATATTTCTGTTATAAAAACTGGAAAAGCATTTGTATCTATGTCAAAATCCTTGATGGTTTGATGTCAAGGACAGTAATCAAGTCTTATACGCAGCATTGTTAAGGCTGAAAAAAGGAGGCGGTGCCTAATATATACGGGTAAATTTTACTGTGACGTCACACAAATATATGACTTTTATGTATTCCTCATAATACCAGAAAATGAAAAAAATTGCAACTTTAAACTGTATTAACATAATAAACAACAAAAAACTTATCAATGCATTAAAAAAGTTGCTAGTTAAATCCCATACAGCTGGTTATAAACAAATCACTGATCTCTATGAACTTGTCAATCATGACGTTATTTTGGAAAAAATGACGTATTTCATGAACTGTGAGAGGCAGATTTAGGAATTTATTAACAATGACAAATGCGTTTTATTATAAACAGTATGCAGTGAAACATGACTAATCCGACATGCACTGGGAGACAAATTTTGTGTCGGAATAGACAGGGTGTCAGATTGCAGTGTTAAAAACAAGGAAAATACTTAAATGGGAATGACGTCAGAATTCACAGTTTGTCGGATTATTCAGGTGTCGGATAAGACAAGTTTCACTGTATTATTTACATGTTTTAAATAGACTATTTTTACGAATGTATATCCTTTGTTTAGTGCGACTATTCATTACGAGGGACGTTCAATAAATAATGTCATTAGCTCGATGACATACAACATAGTAGTCATATGACATAAAGCTTGTCTTTCTCTCATTATCAAATCTTTAATGAATTGATAACAGTTTGTTTGACCACTTTTCATCGTATTATTTCATCGTGGGAAGCTGGAAAACAAGGGCTATTCGAGACACTGCATTAAAAATGAATGGTCAAGAATCCGTAAACTATTGTAAATTTAAACGCTTCACTAAAGTAGCTGTAAAACTTGTTAATATCCCAAAAATGTATTAATTGAAATATGTGAAATTTACAGCAACCAATGCCTGTTTTATAGACAGATGAACACGTAGATTTCAATAAACAAAAATTATTTTATGGGCATCAAAAATGGTAACCGTCCTTGGCAACAATAACTTACAACAACCGATGTAAATTTGCGAAATTTCAACAAATTATCACTGATTATGTTTTATTAACTTTAAGACAGTGCCCAGACACATAGCAAAATTGATCAAAATCATTTTGGGGATAGTTCATACTGTTTTAAAGAAACATTTTAAAGTAAAAAAGTTTAATACTCAAAGGTCATCCTATATTTTTAAAAATGAGTGAAACCGACAGTGTGTAGGAATATCCAAACAATTATTTTAAAAAATCAAAAAATGTACTTATCCACGTTTGTTTGAAATTCTAACAGATAATGAAACTTGAATCCACTTTGCTTTAAGCCCTCAAAACGAATTTACAGTAAGATGCACTTGACAAAACTGTAAAGGCCTAAGAAGAGCAAAGAATTGCAAGAGCATAAAACAGTTTTAATTTGCAATTTTCTTAAATATTAACTGTCTTGTTGTTCAAATTCATATTCCGGGAGGAAGTTCAATTTCTGGAGGAGTCTACAAAACACTTTTTTGCAAAAAATGAAAGGTTTAAGAGAGGAAGGAAACAGAAAGAGGAATTCACTACATTAAATGTCTTCATGACGGCGTCCAAATCCTCAGGCCATGAAGAGTAAAGGAGTTTTGGGGATAAACAGAAAGTTAATGTTTTGTCACACCAATAAAATTTGCCAGATGTTTCAACCTTTGCTTTGTTTCATTTCCTAAACTTAGAAAAACATCTATCAGAAAGAAAAAAAACAAGTACAGCAAATCATAGGATCTGCCATATTCCAGTATACGAAGGGTCACACTCAAAAATGTGTTCGAAAAACAATTAGAAATTGAATGAAAATGTTACGGATATGCGTTTTAATTGTTAAAGAGAATATTTTAGTTAAATCATTAAGACTTAGTCATATAAAAGTGTTTTTGTTTCTTTCCGAGCCCCAATGACATTATTATTGAACGCCCCTCGTAACATTCGAGAGAATGTATTTAAATAATGTTGTCACTTCAACATGTTCAAAGAGAAAGATAAAATCATTTACTTTTGATTGCAGTGTTGTTTTTTAAACTCACAAATTGAAATTTAAAAAAGATAAAATTAATGAATCTGTACTTTTAAATTGATACCTCAAAATAAATTGTGTTCCAAAGTTCATAATGATTTTTTAAACTGTTACATGTAAGTAATAGAAATGCCAGAATGAGCGGGCTTTCAACATGCACAGTCAATAGAGCTACCACGTAGAAAGATTAGCGAAACATTTTAGCGCAATATGACATCTTTTTAACTGTGACGTTTTTGTATTCAATTGTGACGGCAGTCAAGTGTATTGTGACGTGCCTGAAACAACGCTGTGTGAAAACGTATGCGCAGATCAAGTAGATCGGGCCTCGTTAAACAAAAGATAACCACTCAATTTTGTATTGACATAAAACATGAGGTAATCAATAGCTATCCAAAATGAAGCATTCCATGGATAAAATGAGGCACTGCCATCCTTTTTAAATCCAAGACAAACGCCTGTGGTGGCTTGTAACCAACCTTTAATTGTTCTTGCAAAAAGATACAATAAGAATGACGGAAAATTTACGGTGAAGATAGATTTGTTGTTATTATGTTTTATGGGTTGCATATTGAAATGGCAGCTTTCCAACTGCTGAGTAATTTGTTGAAAGGAAGCGGCTGGATGACAACATTAACCCAAGCAGAACTGCTGGGTCTTTCATAACAATTTCTAATCTTGCGCTAAAAAAGGCAAGATATCAGATTACTGCCTGCTGTTTGTATAACTTGATAAAAAGGCATGCCAAAATGCAAAGAAATTCGATAATTGCGATGAAATTGAAATAAATTACCTATTTTCCTTGGAGCTCAAAACAAGATATTAAATGATTTCACAATTCAAATTTTGGCCAAGGACTCTTTTGAAATTCGTTGTCTTCTCTTATGTAAGGTCTTTCAGAGAATCAGATTTCAGGCCTTTACAAAGAATCTTTATCATATCCAATTCCATATTTTGGCCCTTGGTCACATTAACTATGCTCAATGGCTACCATTTCACCTTCGGGTGAAAACAAAGCACCCGGACATTACCACTTATACGAGCCTGGTCTCGGATAAGTGAGTTAATTTCAGTAACCCTATGTCTCTCCATTCCAGATATCTTAAGTACTTTCAGATATATATTATATTCACCCTTAGTCACAACCTGTCATTCCGGATAATAATAAACCACAGAAACTTTAGTTCTTTCAACAAGACCAAACTCAAGCAAAGGAAGACACAGATGCATCACAACAGAGAGCTCTTTCACATCTACAAACTAAACTATCTATTAATTACTTGACTACATTTCCATAACTTAATCATCATTATAAGGCATATTCGAATATAACTTATAAGTTAATTAATTAAGACAAAAAAAATAGTATTATGAGTATGAATGTTATCTTTCTTAATCATGGGACTTTTACACACACAAACAAAAACAGAGATCCACTTTTGAAAGAGTCCCCTGTGTACATTTGTGGGATTCTTTCAATGAAGATAAAGGTTATCCATTTACTTTGTTAGACCCTTTTTGCAATACAAAAATGCAAATAGGTTAAGGGCTTCAATTGGTACATCATCGGATGCGTAGCTGTTGCAACCACTATTGAAATAACGACCACTGTTGAAATAATTATATCAATAGTGGTTGAGAGTGCATTTCAGTAGCAAACATAGTTAGTAACCACTATTGAAATACAACCACTATTGAAATAATTATATTAATAGTGGTTGAGAGTGGATTTCAATAGCAAACATAGTTAGTAACCACTATTGAAATACAACCACTATTGAAATAATTATATCAATAGTGGATGAGAGTGGATTTCAATAGCAAACATAGTTAGGGACCACTATTGAAATGCAACCACTATTTAAATTATTATATCAATAGTGGTTGAGAGTGCATTTCAATAACAAACATAGTTAGTAACCACAAATGAAATACGACCACTATTGAAATAATTATATCAATAATGGTTGAGAGTGCATTTCAATAACAAACATAGGTAATAACCACTATTGAAATGCAACACTATTTAAATTATTATTTCAATAGTGGGTGAGAGTTCATTTCAATATAATAACCATAGGTTTCAACCACTATTGAAATATATACTACCAGAATTGAAAGAAAAGTTTCACCGCCTCAGCAAGTTTTGAAATAATTATTTCAATATATATTGGATTAATTGTGCAATGCACTATTAAAATCAATAATTTAATCCATACTGAAATTTTTATTTCAAAAGTGAACATTATTTCAATAGTGGTTGCAAACTATGTTTGTTATTGAAATGAATCTCACCCACTATTGAAATAATTATTTCAATAGTAGTAGTATTTCAGTAGTGGTAACTATCTATGTTTGTTATTGAAATGCACTCTCACCCACTATTGAAATAATTATTTCATTAGTGGTTGTATTTCAATAGTGGTAATTACCTATGTTTTTTATTGAAATGCACTCTCAACCACTATTGATATAATTATTTCAATAGTGGTTGTATTTCAATAGTGGTTACTAACTATGTTTGTTATTGAAATGCACACTCAACCACTATTGATATAATTATTTCAATAGTGGTCGTTATTTCAATAGTGGTTGCAACACGTAGCTTTAGGAAATCGATTATGACGTCACGGTAAAACTGTACAAATGGATCTCGACGAATAAATTCTTATTTACTTTTCATAAACTCTCACTTACAATCATTTCTCCTAATCAATGCATAACTTATCTTGTCGTCATAACTCTATTTGAAAGTAGAATCAAAGGCACCTTGATCTCGCTGTACTGACTGAGATGACGTCATAGACTAGTTTGATACGCAGTTTCTCTGTGCTTGAGACGTTGATCAAGCTTATATTGAAGCTTGTCAATGTAAAAATTAGAATTATATAAGTGTGATCTGACTAAAAGAGTCATATTTCTAAATACATTAATGAAGGATAATACATATTTTACAGTATAATTAAATTAAAAGCGAATAGGTTTCATATAAAGTAACTGTAGCGCACATCTATACACAAACGTAAATTAATACAATTACAGGCACAACCCTTCGAATATCTCAAAATTTTTCACACCAAAATATTTTCCAAATCTTATTTCATCTAAAAGCTAGTTATTGAAACATCCAATTTTTGGGCGGGTTCGAGGGATACGTCCTTCTACTTTCACACATTTTAATTTTATTCTTAATACTTATGAAAAGGGACAATCTTCTCTGTAGAATATATAAAAGGATTATTTTGAACGACAAAGACCGACAGCTGAAAATTAAAAACCAACATAAGTTCAATTGCACCTATGGATAAGACGGGAAAAATAGATATAAACTGTAGATTTAATAGCTAATACTTTTTGAACCATAGCACGTGAAGAACATCAATTAAGGCTAATTGATACAAGTATTAATGGTGTAAATTTATACTTTCATCCCACATTCGAGATTCTTACGTTACTTTGTTAAATCTTTTAATTCCTTCAATGTGTCTTTGTTAAGATTACCTTGAATTATTACTGTGATATGCATTATAATATAGCATATGATCACCGCTGAAAAACATGAAAAAGTGGTTATAAGAAAATTCATTTCTATGGCCAAACTTTTTGACTTTATAAACATCAAGAACCTATGACTAGAAATCATCTGGAGACAAAATTGAATTTTCTCCAATAATTAGCAAAATTACATAACAAAGCAGTGTGAAAGAGACACTGCATAGTCTGTCTGGAGACAATGATGTCAGAGAAAAATACTAGTAACTAAAACTAAAAGAGCTGACACAGTCAGCGACTATTGGACATGACAGAACATACCTTTAGAACCTATTTTGTTCTCTTTATTCTTCTTTTTCTGCTTTTTTTCATCCTCAGCAGCAAGACCTAGGCTTTGTGCGATGGGCCTTCCCTCGGGCATTCCCTCTACTTTGTGTTTGGTACTAGACATGAGCTTCCCGATAGAACTCCCGACCTTATTAAGCTCGTACAAACCCTGGCCAAACGGGGGATCACTCCCATACCCTCCATGCTGATATTTCTTTTTCTCAATTTTTACATATTTCCTTCTAGTGCTGCCAATATAAGGGGAAAAAATGCTATGCTTAGGAAAATTAATCTGTTCATCAACATCCCGTAGAGAAGATCCCGATCT